GCTAGCTTCGACATCACTCATCAGTGTCTCGAAGTCCTCCTCATGGAATTTCTTCGAGTCACCGATTGTCTCAAACTTGCGCTTGACAATTCCGATCATCCGTTCAGCATGTCCAGACTGCCACGGGGCAGCTGGTGCGTTGAAGATCCATTGGATCTGGTGTTGGGCTAGAAAATTTTGAACATCAGAGGAGGACAGTTCGTCCTCTTGATCTTCGGTACTGGTTTGGGCGACTTCCGTAAGCCTTTCGTGTAGCTTGGTGAGGACCAAGTCGGCTTTACGGAAGTTACTTCCGTTGTCGCTCCACATTTTTAGTGGAAATCCGCGCTGATTTGTAAATCGGCGGAGGCAACGCAGGAATTCCGCCGTGCTCTGGTCTTGGGCGATTTGTAGATTGACAAGACGCGTGGACAGGCATTCAAAGAGGCAAAGATAAACTTTGCGCTCATTTCCCGCCTTACCCTTCAGATTGAAGGGCCCAGCGTAGTCAACGCCGCAGTATTGAAACGGAATGCATTTGGATGTTCGCTCGGAAGGGAGCGGGGGTACATCCGGGCTTGGGTAGGGGCGGCTGTTACGAATATTGCAGTGCAGACAGCTGAAGTTTCTGCCAGGCTGACCTACAATATGGAATTGGATAGCGAGACGTGCTCGCGTCTCCAATGTACCGAGGTGTACTCCACGTTCGATATGACACCGCTGAAACAACAGGTCAACCAAACGAGAGTTTGCAAACAGGATTGGTTCACCGTCGGTGGAATTGGGCATGTTGGTAACCCGATTGCGTAATCGGGTGATACCAAATTGGTCTTTCCGCACAAAAAGCTTAGTCTGCTTGGCCAGATGTTCAGGATGTTCCATCTGGTGGCAATAGACCAAGTAGTTTTGTGCAACCAGGTTCTTGCAATAACGGTTTTCAGCTAGTTGCAACGCCTCAGCGAATTTCTCCGCCCCGGGGTAAGTCGGGTTGGCGAGCAACGCTTTCACCGTGTCGCTGAGAGCAACATCAAGTTTTTGGAATTTCGTCAAATCCACCGGTAAGGTAGGATTCTCTGTTGTTCCTTGCTGCGGCACTCGAAGCACTGGATCTGGTGTAAGCTGGGCTTGATTGCCCCCGCTACTTGAAGTACTGACTTTCCGGGGGCGTCCCGGTTTCCGTCGTAGTAGCTTGGGTTCATCTGCCGGCGGAACAGTCTCTGGGATTGGGGCTGTCTCCGCTTCGTCGGCTGGAATTGGGATTGGCACGGCTGTTTCGGAAGTTTTCCGAGGACGCCCCGGCCGGCGTTTTTGACCCGCTGTCAACACATGGTTGGCAACGCGGATATGGTCTTGGGTTGGTTCTTCACCATCTGGATGGCGGTCGGGTTGAACTCTGGCCGACTTCGGCCATCGCTCAACAGGTTCTTGTAGGAACGGCGGCCCTTTAAACCATCCTCGACCGATGGCTTCATCCACGCTGGCTACGGCCTTGGTGCCCATATCGGCCGGATTCTGATGCCCTGCTACGTGTCGGAGTTCCACGGGGACAACAGAGCGGAGTCGACTGAGCACGTCTCGGAATTCGGCAACCCGGTTGCGAGTAAAGGCGTGTTTGGATTGTTCTGGACTGGTTATCTGTTGAAGGGCGATTGACGAGTCCGAAAATATTCGAACTTGAACAATCTTGATACACCGACTGACTTCATTGACAATTGTCTCCGCCAGTTTAGCTCCGCCAACTATTGCTAGTAACTCGGCTTTCGGGATCGTTACCCTCTCCTTGATCGGAGATAGATGTGAATTGGCGATGAGGAACCTGGCTCCTAGCTCACGATCTTGATCGCTCGCCGATTGGAGATAGGCTACTGCACAACGAGCGTCCTCCGACGCATCCGTAAACACGTGGAGGAGGGCGCAAGGGTCTTGAAAAAATCTCGTGCGGTCCTTGGTTGGAATGGCAACTCTGGGTATCGAGAAATTGATTTCACGATACTTGCTGAATACCGTTTCCCAAGTGTCCACCGCTTCCTTGGGCAACTTATCATCCCAGCCAACCTGTAGCTTCCAGAGGCCCTGGACGAATTGCTTTATCGGAAGGGTGAAGGGAACGCACATGCCCGAAGGATCAAAGATCCGTTGGGCTTCTTTGTACACCCACCGCATTGTAAGGTGCTGGTTCTTTCCGGTTCTGGGTAGAGGCTGCACGCCCAACACTCGTAGAGTGTCGTCGTCTTGGTTCCATTCATGCCCGAATTGCCTTATGGTTCGTTTTCCCACTCGGTCTTCTTTGGGTATGAAGTCTTGAATTTGCTCCACATCCGAGCTGAACTTCCTCAGGTTCATCGAGATTCGCCCGAAAAAGTTCTTCGTGATGTGATAGAGGCTTTGAGCTTCTTCAATCGTGTTAAACCCCAACGTAACATCGTCAACATAGGTATTATTGACTAAATCACGCTTCAGTTTATCCGAGAGCTCAGGGTCTTGGTCAATAAAATATTGGAGTGCCGCTCCAAGCAGGAACGGTGAACTCGTTAAGCCGAAAGGGACCCTGCAGAATCGGTATTCTACAAGATCGGCAGCAGAGAGCTTGCTCCGCAACCTTTGGCATTCCCGCGAGGGCTCGGTGCTGGATAGAATTTGCCGAATAAGCTTCGGTCGAAACCACAAGAACCTAGTCGCATCTCGATCCTCCTCGCGCAACGCAACCTGATGGAAAGCTTTTTCGATATCGCTAACCAGGAGGTGGTTGTATACTCTCATACGGAGAAGTACATTCAGCAGGAGGAGGATCATCGACGGACCAGAGTGAAGCTTGTCGTTTAACGAGGGCTGGTTCTTGAGCTTAGCACTACCGTCGTACACCAACCGGACCTCAGTCGTGGAGTTCGACTTCAAGACCGGGTGGTGCGACAAGTAATGTAGGTTTGTAGCCGGATGGCCACGGTTTTGGTCTGGTACTGGTTCGATGATGCCACTTTCGAGCTGCTGCATGATGAGATCGTCGTACTTCTTGATCAGCATGGGCTTGTCGCGCAGAGTCGTAGTCAGGATGCCGATAGTCCTTGGTATTGCGATCACCTTGTTGCTGGGCAACTGTCGAGTGTCATCTTCGTTCCAGGGTAGGGCGACCTGTAGACGACCATCGACTAGTCGTACAGTACGCCGGAATTGAGTCATGGCTTTTTGGGCCTCCACTTCCTTGCGGAAGGCGCCAGCTTCGTCAGGTATGCCCAAATTCATGAGAGCCCACGGATCACGTTGTTGGGCCTCATTAAAATGAGAAAACTCTGACGGAGCATAATGGCGGAACTGGTTCATTGCAGGTACGGGATTGGAGCATTCTGGACGTACCAGTAGCTCCATCTTTTTCCGCATACTTGGTTCTGGTTTGCTAGACGAGAGTCTAACTTTATCCACTTCCGGCAAACGAAGTGGTGCGTAGATGTGCTTGGCCTTGAGGCGTCGTCCCGCAATTTGCGGAAGGAAACCCGTGAGGTTAGCAGACATCCCACTCCAAACGCTGCCATACCGGAAGTGTTCTACGACCATCCCCGAAGGGAGGCGTATTGTAGCTGCACGCGGGACCTTGAGATCGTGCAGGATGTCCTGCCCGATCAACATTTCGCACTTGATCCGATGGAACTTCGTGGGGTCTCGTTGCAGCATGAGGTTTTGGGTTGAGAGGAACTCGATGTCTGGTTTTGGTAATGGTTGGACGACAGTGGTTAGGCTTGCTAACATTGTCACATCCACCGGATACGAGCTTTCTAAACCGAAGAGGTTAATCTTGGTTAGAATGACATCCGGGTGGATTGTCCCATAGAATTGGTTGATGTGTCGAGTGGCCGTCCCCAAATTGGGTAGGCCTTTGTTGTCGAACACATCTGGACTGAGATAGCTACGGGTTGAACCCGTGTCGACGAGCGCGTCGAGGGGAAACTGGCGGGTGTGATCACTTGGATCATTGACCCACACAGTTAACACCTGTAGCTGTGGGTATTGGTTGTGGTTTTGGTTTGGGTCAGGGTGAAAGGCTTCAATTGTTATCCGTGCATCCGAGGGTCCGAAATAAGTTGAGACCGTAGTCCTCCCCAATATTCAAGACCTCCGGTGTGTATGCTTCGGAATCCACAATATCCCGGCCTACCCTAGTCGTCGAGTGCTCGCGACCCCTCGAGTGATTGGAGTCTCGGCTGGCTGAACGACTGGACGGTTTTGATGAATTGTGCCTGTCCCGGTCTCCAGAATACCGCTCAGCGTTTGAGACTTTATCCTGGGAAGGAGCACGGTTTTGTGACGAGTTGGTATTGGATTGGCTTCGGCTAGGTGTCCACTCTTTCGATGAAGACCGGCCGGCCGACGCACCATGTCAAAAGAGGGAGACACTCCATTCCCCATATAGGATATGATCAACTATATGAAGAAGGTTGCCACTGTCACCCTTAAGAGAGAGTAACCCCATTCAGAGGCATCGGTTGTTCAGTGGATTTAGTATTTCTGTGATTCTCCCAATGCTTACAATGCGATTACCAATATAGGAAAAGGAATAGAGACAAAAGGTTTATTAGTAAACACACAATTACCGGAACACGAGAGAATTTGAGAGCACGAGGAAATGTCATTGTTCATCAGACACCCAATCGCCCACGCCAGCAATGCTAGTCACGGGGATTGGGGTCCAGAACAGGGTGTTGGATCAACGAGCGACAAGGGTTCAGTTCCCGTGAGAATTTCCCATAAATCGCGGGACTGAATTGGGGGACCCTCTGAGCCGGGGGCGGATACGGTAGGAAATTCCTCCCGAGCGCCCCGCGGCGGGACCCGGATTGGATTACGCCATGGTTTTCCCTCGAAAGGAATCATGCGGATATGGGAATCCGTCATGAGACTTTCGACATATATATTATATTAATTTATTTTTACAATTTTCGATCACTATCTTTATTTCGATTTTCAGGGCCTTGTCGATTTTGCCTTCAACGATCCTTTAAAATAGAATTTTTTTCTTGTAATTTGTATCATTGCAATTCCTCGCCAAAAGCCTGCGATAAAATGCCCATTGGCCCGACTCGCGAGGCCGATATCTTCTGCTCGTCCTCCTCCTTGTCCCGCGCGTTTTTCAAGGCACTCTGAAAAAATGCGCCGATTGATTTAATTTTCGTTATTTAATTTAATTAATTATTTTGCTTTTATTTTATTTTATTTTAAATTTATTTAGTTTCAGAATCATAACGCAATTAAATTTTGGCAAAACACTAGTTTTATGAAACATTTAAATTTATTGGCACATTGGTTTTATTGATTTCGTTTTGAATGAAGAAGTTATAAGCTCATCATATGCCCATTTAAATAGCAAATTCTAACTTTTAAAACTTTCAAAACATTTAATTTTGAAATATTGTAAAAAATTTGAATAGTTTTTAATACACTAAATAAATTTCGAAACTAAATTTGTTAAAGCTTTATATTTCGCGTGTCAGTCCGAGCCTTTGTTGTCGCAATAAAGTTAATTGAAAGCGCAGGATTTTCTGTTTTTCTGAAACATTTAATTTCTAAATTTTCTTGAATTGATTTTCTGCTAGATTAGATTTTTCTTGCGTAATTGTTGAATTTGTTCATTCGTTCTTATATTGATGTTTTTACCTTTATTAAGTGTTTTTGGAGCATGACGACGGAAGAGTGGTTGTTCATCAGGAATTCCTTGAGACTCAGCAGGCCGCCATCGGCTTGTAGGTCGATCGACGAGCGCTCCGAGCACATTTCCCAGCCTGGAAACGGGACAAATATTATACAAAATTATAAAGATTATTCTTGTAGGTTTTAGATTCTAAAATTAATTAAAATTTTTACGCGAACTGAATTTTACGCGAAGACGGCAGGCTGATTATTGGCGAAAACCTGCCGCCCAGGTCTTGGAACTTTGTTGAAACAATGTTTTTCTCGACGCTTAAAAAAGTTTTCCGCGTAGTTTGAATTCAAGATTTTTTTTATTATTCGTAAGGATCATGAACGGATTAGTGACATAAATTTTCCACAATGCTCTACGAAATTTTTTTAGGCGTAAGTGATTTAACTATGGAAATCACGAAACGTCTACAAGTAATTTAGCTTTCCTAAAAACCTTTTCCGGATCCCTATAGCAAACTAACTACTGCTCATTGTCGAAATCCTGCCAGCCTGGTACTGGAACTTTGTTGAAACCATTTTTTTTGGCATCAACATTATCATAAGCATAAACTAGTTTCCTTTATCGAAAAATCTTCATTTTTGTCATTCCGAGCTACAACGACCAATTTATGGGGCAAGATTTAACCGGTCGGCTCTGGGCAATTTGTTGAAACTAGCTTTTTTTGTCCGAGCTTTTCGGGTTCCTTTAGGTTTTTTAGGGGCCAAGCAATGTCATTTTAGAGCCAGCGAATTTGCAGTTAAATTTTCCTACCCACGTTTACGACTGACTGCATTAAAAAGAGATAAAATCTATCTAAAATTTTTAGGTTTCACGATTTTTTATGGCCATCAAAATCTCGAATCAGCAATTCCCCGCATCTTGATGCTAGTTTGAAGACCACTTCATTTTAAACGGCTCATTTGAATGTCGGGAATTTGGCTGCCGGCATTCCGGCCTTTTCCCGATAATTATTTACCTTTCGGCGGCCTCAGCCCGAGTCCCATATATCGTTTCGGCTTCTTGAAGCACAGGAAATCGTCATCGATTTTGATGTCCATTTTCTGAAAAAGGATGTTTCGGATTCTGGAGGGAGCCAGGGAAAAATTTGTTTCTTGATACGCCGTGAACCGGTTGTCAAGCGGGTAATTTAGAACAAGGATTGAACTGATCGCAATTCAAAAGTATGTATCGTATCTCGTGCTAATTCAAAAAAATGTCGCTCCTAAATCTAACTGCAACATACCTTTATCATCCAATTCAATAGCTGTCGAACGACAATCGAGCTGACGTTGAAAAGACAGTAGAAACAACAGGCTCCTGAAAATCAAGATTAGGGGCAGGCTAGCAGAGATTGTGGAGGAAGAGGAGAGGGCAGGCTAGCAGAGATTGTTGAGGAAGAGGAGAGGGCAGGCTAGCAGAGATTGTTGAGGAAGAGGAGAGGGGCAGGCTAGCAGAGATTGTTGAGGAAGAGGAGAGGGCAGGCTAGCAGAGATTGTTGAGGAAGAGGAGAGGGCAGGCTAGCAGCGATTGTTCAGGAATTCTCGACTTACCTAATGTTAACAACAAAAAGTTGAGAAATCGATACACGTCCTTGTTGACTGACACGTCTTTTTGATTCGACACGTAGTCCCCGAACCCGATCGTCGCAAAACTGGAAGAAACTCGTCGTATCTTTCTCTCTCCTCTCTCACTCTCTCTCTCGCCCTCTCTTTCTCTCTCTTCTCTCCCTCACCTAATAAAGCAAAAATACAAGGCATCAATATACGGCCAGTCCTCGACGCACGAATACACGAAGGCCGCCGTCGAGATGAGCAGCGCTAAAAGATCATGTTGTTAGAGTTGATTAGGGTTTTTCTATTTTCTAAACCTTTTTCCATTTCACTCTTTATATTCCTATTTTGCTTTTTTTCTTTTCAGTAAAAATAGAAAATGAAAAATGTCAAAATTTTAGAAAGGATTTACAAACATCATTTTTCATTCTATTGTGAGCATAAAATCCACCGAAATTCCGGTAGCTTCAAAAAAACTTTCAGAAAAAATCTTTCGTCAAAAACTGCAAAGATATCCTTCTAAATCTAGACAATAAAAGACATGAGGTCGTTTAATGCACTTTTTAATTTTAGGCAATCGTTGGAAAGAAGCTATCTTTAATTGATAATATTTTTTTAATATATGTCGGTCGTCCTGAATTTTAGCGCGTAACTTAATCCCGAAACCTACCGGAAAGCGTCAATAAACAGAAGAACACTTTGTACACAGACGGTCGCCAATTGTCCACGGCCTCGCAAGAACTGAAAAGATTTTCATAAAAATTGAAAGTTTCGAAAAAAATGCGTTATCCCAAATTTTTATGCACAGGTAATTCAATCACGATCTTTTCAACCCATCCATGCCTATTTTTCCTGAAGAAGCTGATATTAAGCATTCCAAATAAATTTAAACTGGCGTTTTTATTTTGTTTTATGGTTTAAGATTATTTTTAGATTCTGTAAAAATTGCTTTTTTTAGAAACTTTTTGCCAGAACCATGTTCCAGCTTTCTTGATATAAAAACCCGTTAGGCTTCCCGCAATAATCCGTTGGCCCGCCCTTTGATTAAAAGCTTTTCTGAGTATTCTAATAAACATACGTTAAGAGCAATTAAAATTCATTGTTTTTATTATTCCATTGAAGCAACAACGTTTCAAAATTACCTCGCCGACTCGGCATAGTCCTCATTGTTGACGAGCAGCGTGATCGGCTTGTTATTGCTGGCCAGCATCAATCGCCGGCGCACCTTTTTCTCGTGGAAATATCTGAAAAAAAGTTTGAATGATTTAATGCACTGATTACGGCAGCCCTTCATTTTTAAATTTAGGGCAATTTTCACAATTATAAAGGTCAAAACATAGAAATTCGAAATCGTAAGAAAATCTATGTTTCTACAGAAAATTGTTTTGAGGAAGAAAAATAGATATTTAATTGTCACTCGTGTGTACGTATTTTGATTGATTGATCAACAGTTTTCAGTGGTTCTTAATTCTTTAGCGATTCACAACCCTCCCCTTCCTCAACAATCTCTGCTAGCCTGCCCTCTCCTCTTCCTCAACAATCTCTGCTAGCCTGCCCTCTCCTCTTCCTCAACAATCTCTGCTAGCCTGCCCTCTCCCTCTTCCTCAACAATCTCTGCTAGCCTGCCCTCTCCTCTTCCTCAACAATCTCTGCTAGCCTGCCCTCTCCTCTTCCTCAACAATCTCTGCTCGTTCTCCCCACAAACCTGAGCAAATAGCTGAAGGCGGTGATGAGGCGTTCGAGGAATAAATTGAAGAACAATACACAACATGTACATCCCACGACTCCGTACCCGATCGTAGCGGCCCTCCCCAATATGGTTCGAGGGGTGGCTGTGCCGAAGCCTAGAAAAAGTATCATTAATGCTGCTTATAACCTCTTTAAATCCCCCTTTAAAGGCCTTGGCCAAGAATTGCGCGTTTCGATCTGACTATCATTTAGCGCGCCAATAATTCTTGCATTTGCACGAATTTTATAAAGCTTTTTATTACTGTCAAGTTTCCGTATGCTGCGTAAATTTTTTATTTTTTACGAAGCCACGTACCAATGGTCGAGATAACGGTGCCGGAGAAGAAAAACGACCCGGCCAGATCGAAGCGGTCCCGATCCGAGCCCACACCGCTTACCGTACCCTGGGCGTGGAGGGCTGAAAAATGTATGTAGCAAAAAAATTCTAGGTCTCTGAGATTTGAAACTTCTTAATTTAAACACGACCAATTCCGCGTGAAAATTTTCCGACAAAATTGCTAATTTATATTGGAACGGGTTACGTTGAAATTCGAGGCAGAATCCCGACAGTCAAAATGCCGACAGACAAAACACCGACACGCCAAAATATCGACAGAGTTTTAACGCTAGTTTTAATGCCGCTTCTTTTTAAACAGCCATTTTCAAGAGAATCCATTAAAAATAATAAGTTAGAATCTTCCAAACCGTGAAGCGTCTTAGATACATAAATAAAGAATAAATAAACAAATATAAAAGATATAGGAATCTTCTGCTCACCAGACTCGAATTTTTCTCATTTTGGCCTGATTTAAAAAATAATGTTTCGAAAATGCGTAATGTTGGATTCAATTTCGGGATATTTATTGAAAGAATATATAATTTGGAAAAACCTAACCTAAGTTTTATAGGTTAATCTAGAAAAAGATGTTACTTAAAAAAAATCGATAAGCCCACCTAGCAATTCTTCGAGCCGTTCCAGACAGCTGGTGCTCCGGTTGCAGACGAGTATCCGCAGCCGCTCCGAGTCGTCTTTGAACTAGATTGGACATTTCAAGGATCAGTGCTAAATTTAGAACTTTAAACTTTTTAAATGTTGCTAAAACACATTTTTTAACCTGATAGTTTTGTGGATGATTGTTTTATGGAAGCTCCGCGTGATTTTTGAAATCGAATATATTTATTATCCGAATTTCAGGATAAATTACGCTCACGCCGTTCTAAAACTCAATTTTCACATTTTTTTTAATATTGTAATAAAGCGCTTTTTTCAGGTTCGAAATTGTGGTAGATAATACCCTTCCATTCTTATATTCATCAATTAACAAACACTTCGTTAATACCCTTAATTAGCACACAATATGCTACTGCAATTATTGGCTTTGAATCAGCTTTTTCGCTTTTGAAACTTACGCAAAACACATTTTTTTCTGGCTGCCGGAAACTATGTAAGCCGGATTTTTATAGATTCGAAAATTCAGGACGTAAGTAAATCTACTTAACAAGTCCTATCCGCCTGTTTAAAAACATACTATTTGTATGGCAATAAAGATGTTAGTAAGAACGAAAAAGGAAGACATTAGGCAACCCGCCATTTTTTTGGTTTTCTATTTTTTTTGAACATATTTTTTCACTTTGGGCCCGAATGCATTTTTTGCTTTCTACATAGCATGTTTCTTGATTTTTATGCTACAAAATCGGGCGAATAAAAATTTCATAGCGCCACCAAAATGTGCGTCGGATCAGGTGTCTCGGCGGCTACGCACGAATGCATAATGACGGTGTCTGCTGGCATTCCTTTGTCCGTTCTTTGGAAATATTGTAGTTTATATTCAGTTTGTTCGCAGTTATTTCAAAACCAGATGGTTACAGTCGCTTCGCGACTGCAACCATCTGGCCTTCGGGCTACCCTACATGTCTCACTCCACCACATCCTTTCCCACCTCCAACAATACCCCCCTAGAGCCGAAATCCCCTTCAAAAACTACCTAAATACCTTCCTGATGGCTTCAGATAACCCCCCCATGGCTGAAATCCCCTTCAAAAACTACCTAAATACCTTCCTAGATACTTTAAGTAATTTAAATAATTAATTAACATAATTAAAAGTATTAAAAAGTATATTAAAAAGTATTAAAGTAACTTAAGAAAGCGATCTGGGCGCGGGAAGGGGCCTGGGGAAGAGGGGCGAAGGGAAAGGGGGCGTGGCCTCCCGGGAGAGGGGCCCCCACTCGTTTTATTAAGGCGCCACTTTCAAAGTTAATTTTAATAATTTAAACTAAAAGTTTTTCATAATTTTTTTGTCAGTTTTGGGGTTTCTGACCACGCTCTATCCGAATCCGAAGAGAGCTAAGCTCTAGTTCCTTTCCCCTTCGAGTTGAATTCGGCTTCACACGGACAGACAGACGGACGGACGCGTCAACAAAATTATTATAGTTGATAAAGTCAAGACATTTTAGAAGAACCAAAAAAAGCGAAAGCTAACAATTTTTTGTGGAAAAAAGTTTCACAAATATCTCAGTATTGGCGAAAATTTCGGGGAGGAATATATCTTCCATCGCTTGATAAAGAATCACTTGTGCGAACCAATAGTAAATAAAATTAATTCACGCTTTCGAAGTATCTTTGTCATAAAAAATGACGCTTTATTTTCATCAGCAAGTTTCATGGCGTAATATAGAGAAAATTGAAAAAGGATCAGTGCTACAAATAGTTTCACGAATGTTTCGAAGTTATTCTGCTTTAAAAGTGAGTCAATTGTCTTAATAGAGCCCGCTCTCTTCGTTGAAAAGCAACATTCTGATAATGTTAATTCAACGTTAAAGCTTGTAGTTTTAAAATATCAATTTAATTTTGTTAAGTTTTTAAATTTTTACGTTTTTTTCGCTTACGCCACTTGATTTTATACATTACGCTTACGATAATTATGCCGCCTACGAAGTTTTTTAAAATTACTACAGTACCCTAGCTACAGTACCTCGCGTCGTTCTTTGATCTCGGCGTCCCTTTCGAGGATGTGAAAGATGAATGCACCCAGGCAGAGATAGAGCAGTAGCAACACGGATATGAGCACGAAACGGGCGTTCTCCTCGTAGATGTGCAGCCGGGCGAAGCAGCCCAACTGAAAAATTGGATGTTTTTTTTGCTGGCACCATCCCTTTAACTCTGCTTCTCTCGCTATCCCTTGCTCTCTGTCTCTCACTCACTCACTCTCTCTGGTTTTCTCTCTTTTTATCTCTTTCTCTCTCTCATTTTACGAATTGTTCCATAGTAATTCAATTGTTCTCGTTAACCGTATATGAAAGATCACCAATTCCCAGACAAAAACAAAGGCCATAAAAATGCCACTTTTTTATTGTAATGCGCGAATTGCGCCTCGTGGGGATTAGTAGATTATTTCCGCGTCTTTCCACTGCACGTCAACGACCCCTCGGGGAAATGCCATTATCAAAAAAAAACTAAAAGTTCGATCCGATTTTCGATAAAAAACCTTTTGCATAAAAGTGGTCCTAGCAAAGTGAAACATACTTAAAAACGGTATTGGTCTGTTAGCGGGGGTTGCAAATTCTTCCCTGGTAATGCCGTTTTAATCACGGTTTTGTTAAGCTTCAGTATATTTTAAGTGGATAACGATCAAAAAAACTGGTTTGGCCGAAATTTTGAAACTAGATTCAATATTTGATTATATTCAATTTTAATAAAAATTTGCAAGATTTTTAAGTACTGTTTGTCCCCCAGGTAACCCGCCCCCCGATAATGACAAAGACCCGAAGAGGCATCACTAATTTTTAAAAAGTCGTGTAAAGGTTGCTTTTTGGTTTTTAAAGTGAAATGTTTCATCGAGTTTCATTCCTCCGGTTGGCGAATTTTCCAGAATTTTCCTTCTTTGTTCCCGGCGCATTTTAACCCTTCCTCAGCACAAAAAAAAGCTATTTTCCACCCCGATTCCTGTAATTTTTGACAAGGCAATTCGGCCGGGCTACGGTAGCATCGAGTTATTGCCCTAATTGCGCAAATTGGGCGCAGGTGTCCCGCGGAATTGGATTCCCCCCTTAAAAAGAGAACAATCATCAAGCGGCGCGATTTTTCTTGGGAGCGAAAATCGCGGGGTATCGATTGGAAAAAGTTGAGAAGTCCAGGAGGAGGATAAATTATTAATCAAATGTCCAGGAAAACTAAATGTGAACTTCAAACATAATTTTTAATTTTTGAATGCATGGAAGGGTAGAAAAGAATGTTTCGTATAATGAAATAATTCATGAATTTCCTAATTCTGCAATTTCTTTCCGTATCATTCTCTATTCATAGCAGATTGGGCAGGCTAGCAGAGATTGTTGAGGAAGAGGAGAGGGTAGGCTAGCAGAGATTGTTGAGGAAGAGGAGAGGGCAGGCTAGCAGAGATTGTTGAGGAAGAGGAGAGGGCAGGCTAGCAGAGATTGTTGAGGAAGAGGAGAGGGTAGGCTAGCAGAGATTGTTGAGGAAGAGGAGAGGGCAGGCTGGCAGAGATTGTTGAGGAAGAGGAGAGGGCAGGCTAGCAGAGATTGTTGAGGAAGAGGAGAGGGCAGGCTAGCAGAGATTGTTGAGGAAGAGGAGAGGGCAGGCTAGCAGAGATTGTTGAGGAAGAGGAGAGGGCAGGCTAGCAGAGATTGTTGAGGAAGTACCCACCCGTGCTCTTGTAATTGACGGTAGAGTATTGGCGCGTAGTAGATCGCGTTGGCCGATACCGCGCGCGAATTGCAGCTTATGCATCACGGATCGGCCGCCGCCGAGCACCACGCCGCTAGCGCCGCTGCCTGAAAAGGATGATTTTAGCCGGAGGGAGCGAGCGAGAGAGAAAGCTAGATAGATAGAGAGAGAGAGAGAGAGAGAGAGAGAGAGAGAGAAAGAGAGAGAGAAAGAGAGAGATAAATGTCTAAACAGTCTTTTTCGACTAAATCTCGGAAAAATAAAAACCCGCCATGGTGTTTGCACATTCATCCCAAAAAATTCCCGCTAGCCTGCCCACTCCCCGAAACACATTAAAATTATTAAAAAAACTGTGCGTAGTGAGGAGTGGGGCGGATTTTCGAGCAGAGAATAGCGAGAGGGAGGGGATAAATATTTCCGAGTATAGATCGGCGGGGGGAAAGGTGGCAAAACATTGCGGGGGAAGGATGAACCGAAGGGAAGGGGATAATCTCTCCTCGAATGCTTTGTTTCGCTCTCTCGCTCACTCTCTCTCTCAACTCGCTCTCCCCCTTCTCTCTCTCCCTCTCTCTCGCCCTCAGGGGCCAAAATGGCTTATTGAAGCGGCGGAGACAGAGAGCAGAGCACAAGAGTGTCATTTAGAATGTGGAACCCCGCATGGTGGCCCAATTGGCCCTCGAAATGCTTGAATATAGGCTTAAGCATGTTTTAAAGGGATCGTGACACCTCAGAAACACGATTGTTCATCTACGCATTAATGGCGAATACCTCAATTCAACAAAAAAATTGTTAGATTCTTTTGCAGTATCGGGGGGGTATCCGGCCGACCTAAATTTTTTCTTAGGCTCATAATTTTCTAATATAAATAGCGGAAGTGCTTTTTAGATATTTGTACAATTCTTTAGAATAACGAAAGACGTCAATTTTCACGGATAGGCGGTACGACCTTCGTTAGGGAATAACCAGCCGCTTACAGCGGCTTTGACTAACAAGGAGACGTTTTTTGGTGTGAATGGAGTTCTGAGTGGAAACCAGGCCTATTTTGTGCAGAATTTTGCGCTGATTCCGAATATGTTTTCCATTTCTGCTAAATAGCTCTATTTCAAAAGTTATAGCAATTTTAAGATCATTTTAGCCCAAATTTTCCCCTCTTTAGGGACCATTATATTGCTTTTCCCGGCTGTTTTTCCAAAAATAAATATCGTCACCGTATTCAAAAAAATTTTCTCTATCTAATGAGCTATTTAACTCAAAATTGTTGAAATTCGAAAAAATCGACGATACTTGGTATGGGCTGCGATTTTTGTATGGGAAATGGTGAAAAACAGCCTATTTCTCACCCCTGTAAGCCATCGTCGATCGGCAGTAGCGCACTAATCAAATATACCATTCGAATCAGAAAAAAATTCTCTACAAGATAGGCTACTTAAACAAAATTAAAACGTTATAACAAAAAAGTGGCACAGCATAGCATATGGCTACTCTGGGCCCAAAAATTATCTTAAAATAGCTGTAATTTTTTAAATCGAGCTATTTAGCAAAATTGGAAAACAGCATCGGAATCAGCGCAAAATTCTGCACAGAATAGGCCTGGTTTCAATTTAAAACACCATTCACACTAAAAAACGTCTCCTTGTAAGGAAAAACTTTCAAAGTTAATTTTATTAATTTAAACTAAAACTTTTTCATAATTTTTTTTATCAGTTTGGGGGTTTCTGACCACGCTCTATCCGAATCCGAAGAGACCTAAGCTCTAGCTCCTTTCCCCTTCGAGTTGAATTCGGCTTCACACAGACAGAGACCACAACAAAATTATTATAGTTGATGATGGCTAGTGGCTATCGAGTGTACATCGGCATTAATAAAACGCGTCTTGAAAAATTGCTGAACCATTAAAATTTTCAAACTAAATTTTAAGCAGGATTTCGAGTTTAATGGAAAAAACAAGATCGAAAATTAAGCCAATTTTAAAGGGAGATTTACAGCTGCCTTCCGTCGAATTTGGCCAATTAATTTCGGTAAGCTGGTGGTTACATTATTGCGGCAAAAGAATTAGCGGCTCCATTTTTTCTTTGAAACATTAAATTTTCAAAATTTTGAAAGGCTTTCATTGTCGATATTTTAAGGCCTGTTGGGGATATTCAGTCAATATTAATAAGCGGAAGGTATTAGAGAGCAGAAGAGAGAGGGAAAGAGGGAGAGAGAGAGAGAGAGAGAGAAGCGCGAGTAATTTAATAGGTGGCCGGAAAGTGGAATGGGGCTGCCCATGGGGCCAATGCTGAGCCCAGGATATAACGAACCGTATGGCTGTCCCCATTCGTCGGGTGGGCGTGGCCGGCGGGCGCCCGGTGACGAAGCGCACGAGTCGAAGCCGCCCCGCACCTGCAAACATGCATAAGCGATAGAATTTCAGGTCATTTCCGCAAAGCGTCTCTGCTAGAATGCCGTCTTCACAATAAATTCTTTTCCTGAATAAAAATCAATGTTTCAAAAAATTTTCAAAAAAAATGAACAACAATCTAGAGCAATTCCATCCGATGAACTCTCGGAATTACCTACATTTTACAATATCACCCATTTTCTCACTTCCGCAAAGCATCTCCGCTAGCATACCCACTAATAGAAACCTCGGAATCGCGGCCGTTTTCTCAGAAACGGAATGTTCCCAAAATTCTTATCTATTCTCAGAAAAAGTACAGGTCTAGGTTGCATTATTTCCGTTCCTAAAAATCTCCTCGCTAGCTGGTCCTGAACCCGCAAAAATCGAGAAACACGAGAATTCCAGATTCAAAATTTTAAAAAATAAATTGAATAAATTGAATAGCATAAAGCTAAAAAAAAATTACTCTTCTCGGCGAATCGCAGGGGGTTGACGCCGCAGAGCCTGGCAGTCGCGGGGTCGCCGAGAAAAACGGTGTGCCAGGGTTTGATATGGAAGGGCCTGAAAAAATTTTCTTAATTTCTGAAATGCCTATGGTTCTTAAATATGCGATACTAAAGAGATACTTTCGTGATTTTAAGCTATAGATTTCCTGAGTTTCCCAAAGGTTCCGCAATGTTTTAATGTAGTGAAAATGGCTTTAGAAAAATCATACAAGTCCTGGGCAGGGCAGTAATGTAAAAGTAAGTAGCTTAATAGCACACTAGCCAAATTTAGCTATGTATATTTAAATTTAAAAGGGTATCTGAAAACTTCAAAATCTGTTTAAAATTTAATGTTTGTCGAAATAGTCGAAATACCCATATTTTTGACAAAATTTTGTGAGTTTTTGTTTGGAAAAAGTAAAAATATACCTAAAAAGCGCATTTTCCGTTTTCGATTTTTTTGTTTATTTTATTTACTTCACTTCAATTTTTCACTTCCTTGTCTCTAATTAACTTAGTTAAATTGTTTGTTTTTTCATTTTCACCAAGTCAAATTTTTTCGTTTTTATCGAGGTAAATTGTTACATCTAATTTTTTGTTTAAAAGTTCCAGTCTCACAGCGACCAATCTAATCCTAAATAAAGAAAAATCCGGACAAATCCGACACCCCCATTGTATGGGTTCTTTTCGGTGGGGCCCGCGCCCCGATTCGTCACAA